TTGAAAGTCCTCCAATGTGGTCTGAAGAGAAAATTCTTTGACCACTTCTAAGCCACTAACAAGAAGTGGCAAAAAGTAAACCAGATTTCTTCTGCCAGTGCCGTTAACACTTGGTTTGTTATAAAAAATAGGGCTGGAGCCAACAGTGGGATATTCTTTTTCCCAGCAGATAACCTTCAGCTCCATTAATTTCAGGGCAAACCACAGACACATCTGAGAGTAGAATGTAACACTGTATAAATAATAGTATTTTGGGGCCAGGAAAAAATGCTGGCTTGATCTTGAAGGGGATGAGTTGCTGCACAGCTGCTGCTGAATCACACAGCCACGCTCTTATGAAGTCTGTGTTGGTTTATTTGTTCCTGTTCTCAGCAGTAAAGCCAAGTTTGCAGAGTGGTGTATAAAGTCCTGGTCTAGAAAATTGTTCTTTCTTTGTGATAAGGACACACACAGCCAATTTTGACTTATCCCTGGACCAGTTAATCAAAACATGATTCAAAGTTTATTTTGAGCTCTGTAACTTAAAATGTTCTGATTTGTTTTTCAAATCAAGCTTGTAAGGACAGATTTTTTACCATGGACTCATCAGTTTTTATTTTGTGAGACATGATTTTCATAATGGGCATGAATTTCAAGTCTCTCTCCTGCATATGTGTTGTAACACTCATACACATAGTTCAGTAAAGGTTTTTACAGCTGTCATCAAAATTACACACACATTGTTGCATCTGTTTAGTCTAATTGCATAACTGGTTGTGATTGCACCACTTACCTAGAGAGGCAATACATAACTAAAAGTTAAAAATAAGGAAAAGTGATAGGAAAAAAACTTTTACCTTCTGTCAGCAAATCAGCAAGTCACTCTTCTAATGAGATTTGAAGATGCATAACAAGGTTAAAGGAGTCTTGATTATTACAATAGGTTATTGATTAATAAGGACACTTGCATTGGCTCCCAGAATTACTGTATTATTCAGGTATACTCAAACTGGCACAAGTATTGAAGTCTCATTTTATACCCACACAGCTGTATTGATCTTTGCCCATAGACAACTTTTGAGTCTTTGGTTCATGCTCAGACAACTGATGATCATTTTACATATTGGATTTCCAGGCCTTCACAAATAAATTCCAAAAAATCCATCAATAAATTTCCAAAAATCATATGTTCACAAAAATAGAGCCCAGCAGAGGGATTTTGAACCAAATAGAGGCTAGGATATTGTCCAGTGTGGCCTGTGCAAAAGAAATTGATTTCACCAAGACCTTGCAAATACAGTTCAGATAATTCATACATTATCCCAAAACCTAAATGGATGGTGGCAGTAAAATAAGCCTTCTTTGATTTTAAATCCACGTGAACAACAAAATTAGACAAGAGCTTGAAAATTAAATTATTTGGCTCATCTACAAGAATTCCACGTGTGTATTGATGGTAACCACCACCAGTAGTCCAAGCATTTAAATGAAACCAAAAATTCTCTTTGATTTTTTTAAAAATCATAAATAATTTCTAGCTGTCTTCATTAGTACTACTTTTTTTTTAATTTATCTACTTAGATGTCTTTTCAGATTTTTTCATTCACAGGCATTAATAGGATGCCAAAATCTACCGATTTCCACTGCATAGGTTGCTGGGTTAGGGAGGGTGTTTACATGGAGGCTGCCCCATGGCAGGTCACAGCAGCTCTCCCACCCCATTACCACACAATGGGTGCAGGTACACCAGACCTGTGGAAGCCCTGGATGCTCTGGAAAGGCAGTAGGAAATGGGGCCTTTTTATGGGTTACATGAAAAATGCCTGATATCTAACGGGTCTGCAATGAAACTGGGTTTGACACTTTCACAGGCTCTCTGCCATCTAATCAAAAAGGAAAAACAGAGGCATCACACTAAGTCCATTTCAGAGCTACCCATCTGAAACCTTATAAAATCCCTTTAAAAGATTAAATTAAGACTCCTTATGAAATTTATCTGGCAGCACAGGATCTCACTGCCCAGTTTATAGAAGTTACAAGTTATAACAAACTCCAGGTTATTCTTCTATTTCCAAGCACGAGAAAACACTAAACCCAGAGCAAAGGGAAGCAGGGAGTGGTCCAGAGAAAGTGAAAGTTCTCCAATAATTTTACCCATAAGTGTATTACATTTAGGAAACTTTCCGCTCTTTTTTCTTCCATTCCCTTATTTTATTTATTTTCTTCTCTTTTTGACTTGATGGGATTTTACTGAAGAACAGGGGAACATACCAAAATCCTACAGAAAGGTCTTTTTCTTTTTTTTTTTCTCATTTTGTTTTATCTGTTAAATGTCACAAAGATTTTCCAGATCAATACAGCTAACCTGTGCTAATTAAGCTGTTAATGTGGGTGTTAAATGAGGCTTAGGCAAATGATAAGAGCCTGTGTCCTGATGGATTTCACACTGTGTCTTACACCTCAAAGCCATCACAAGGTTATAGCAACCTGAATATTGATTGACTCTAGAGCTCTTCATTACACTTAACGCTTTATGGACTACTTGCAGTACTGACCGAGTGGAGATCATTAAAGAGTACCATCTGCTATAGTTAACATGCAAAACAGCCTCTGAGGACCTACAGGATTTTGTCTGGACAGTACATGGCAGGAGTTTATTCACTTAGAAATTTAAGCTTCCTTAGTCCTTTTTCCAGAAAAGAAAAATAGTGGAAATGGTACAGCTTTTCCCCATTCACACTCCCATGCTGAGTCTGAAACTGAGGGCTGAAAATCCTTACCTGAGGAAGATGTCTATCTTTAAGTTCTTGTATATCACAGTCAGCCTCAAAGTTTCTCCATACTTACTGCTACACTTTCCAATGGCTTAAACTTCAGCACAATTTTAGTGGGCTGGAGAAATTTTCTTTGCTTTCAATCTGGCCACAGATTCAAAAGACATCTGTAAAACAGGCTCATTTTTCTCCCTAGCCCATACCCTACAGAGAGTGTGGATATACCAAAAGCTTTAGCATGGGAACATGTCTGCCAGAGATTGGACAAAAAAGAAAGTAAAATCTATGCTGGCTTATCAGTGTTGGTTATAAATCTGTGCCAAAGCCAAGTATTAGTCCACAGAAAGGAAAAAAACAAAAAAAAAAAAAGAACAATAGTTTCAGAGTTATTGTCTATTTGCCTCCAATTGCTATTGACACTGTCACTCCCATGAGATTCTGCTGTTTCACTGCAGATGTCTGCATCTGGCTTTGCTGCTTAAATGCTCTTAGGGGACAATGGAGATAAATTCAGGCTTCTGACTTTTTCTCTCCTCACAAAGTAGACATGTAAAATAAGTCAGATGACTCATGTCTTAGAATAAGCACTTGCCTATTTGTAGGCAGCCATTGGCTCCAAAAGGTATCTAGGGACTAGCTTGACATAAGCACTCAAGCCTCAGGTTTCTGAAATTAGTGAAATGAAACTCCTGCTATGGATCTGTTTGCTATTGAAACAAATATCAAGTTTAAGATGGTATTTATACAAACAGGCTCCCCTCCATTTGGTTGGTATGTGGTGGCTTCATTGCCCATCCTAAGACTGACTTTCTCAGGCTGTTGAAAAGTATAGCCTTGGCTCCTGTGGAGTAGAGGACAGACAGTGCAGGAGCATCCCAGTCCACCCTAGAAAGTGGATTTTTTCATGTCCAGAGAAATGAGATGTCCCAGTTCTATATCACCTCTAAAATTTACTGAGAACCTTAAGGGAAACCAATACATGTGATGCATAAAACCAAGTGTAATAATAATTCTAGGTTTCCAACTTTGCAAAAAGCCAAAGAAAAGTGATTACAATATCAAACATTTGCAAACAGAAAAGAAAATCCCTTGTCCACACTCCTCATATGTTATGTGGCCTTATCTTCAAATGCTTTCTAATCTCTTCCTTTTATTAAAAATTAGGTTCTCTCCTTTGCTGCTTCAGCACCATTGCTAGGCAGGAGTTAGTCCTGTCAGTTCCACCCATCTGTGGATCTTCTCAGAGACTAACCCTGAACTGAGCAAAAATAAAGTCATCATTTTAAAATTTGCTAATTTGTATTTAGAACCTGCCAGAGCTCTCATGTGGCACCAAGTATGTGACAGTGACCCAGAAAGAGAAATGAGCAGGAATTATTCATGCTTTAGGTGAGGAATCCTCCTCCCTCTCTTCTTTCACTCCCTTGGATGGGAGAATAGCAGTGCATCAGGACTGCACACCTGCACCCTGTAGTGCCACTTGTTTCTCATGGCAAATTTCTCTGCTTTAGTCCCCTAAATATCACCTTGAGGAAACAGCACTGTCCTGAAAGGGCATAGGGAGGACAAATCTATACAATACAATGCTGTGAGACCTTTGCTGAAGAAATTCAAAACCTGCCTAGACATGATCCTGTACAACCTCTTCTAGGTGCTTTAGCAGGGGGGGATTGGACTAGCTGATCTCCAGAAACTGAAAGTCCCTTTTAGCCCCAGCCATTCTGTGAGTCTGTGATTTGTGTTCAGGGAAAGGATAAGGATCAGAAAATAGCTCATAGCTAGATGTGAGGCTGTGAACACACTAGACTATGGAAGCTATGCACTGAAGGACAATCAACCAAAATATATATCTATTCTGTACATAAAAATTGTTCTGTTTAGGTAGCCTGTTGATTTACTCTGCAGCAACATGTAAGGACCTTAACAATAGGAAAAGCATTGCATCTTAATTGCTGCACTATCCTTATAAACAGCCTTGTATCAAATGACAAATAAAGCTATGTTGCCCATCAATAAAAAAGTCCAACTTCAGTAAATAGAATTGAAACATATGGAAGGGGAGGGTGGGGAAGAAAAAAACTGTGTCCATACCTGAAAGTTTTAATGGACTTGGAATGGTTCAGGTGAGAGGCTTATCAAGATAGAAGTGTTGAACCTGGTCTGTCTCTATGTGAAGCATTTTATCAAACTTAAGTACCTGACATGTTACTCATCAGCTTCAATCTCTTCTCTTTCTTCTCTCATCAGGAGGCCAAGAGGACTGCATCCTTTCTTATGAACCTGTCACAAGACAGGAAAGTAAGTTTCATCTCCTTTTCTATCACTCTTCCTTACGTGTTTCATTTCAGAGTTTGGGGGCCAGCAAAGCAGTAAGCCTTGCTCTGCCAATCCCAGATTCCCTGTGGCTTCCTTTTCTTGGACACTCAGTCTATTTTCATATGAAAAAAACCCTGATGTTGTGGTATTCCTTGGAAGCCAGCACTTCTTAACATTCTCAGGACTCTTCTTCCCAGTTCATTCTCATGGACTAGTACAGAAAATTAATCAGTCTACAAAATACTGATGTAGATTTTCTAGACTTACTGCAATATTGTCACATAGAAAGCCTTTATTATTTTGCTTCTCATTGTGATATGTGCCACTGTCCAGGGTAGACAAACATATGGAAAGGCAACCTAAAATGGGAGCACATCCATCTGGTTTAATGGAGGATGCACTCATATAACTTGAGGTGAAAAAAAGGCTACAATATACCAATTTCCATGCCTCATGGAAGAGTCCATCTACAAGCATTTGGGAGTGGCCTTGTTGAGTGATAGTAAATATATCTAATGCTTCTAAACAGTCATTTGACTTGTGCATGGACCATCACAGAGCTCTGCAGTGGTACTCATTCCATTCCCCTTTTTCATGTCAAGAAATAAAATATTCATCAATAAAATATGCACCTGACTTTTCCCTTCATATGTAAAGACACCAACTCTGGTTAGTGATATTTGGGTGCATTTATTTATTATTGTGGTAAGACCATCAAAATGTGATCCTTTTGTTTTTCAGTTAATTACACCAGGCCGGTTATTATTCTGGGTCCTATGAAAGATCGGATCAACGATGATTTGATATCTGAGTTTCCTGATAAGTTTGGCTCATGTGTACCACGTAAGTATGATTCTACTCCTAGTCCTGCAGCTGAGTGAATGCTGTCCCTTGGTGCCACACATTAAGTAAATTTCTACGAGAGCAGCATCCATGAATTATGCACAGTTGGGTTTCTCAAAAGTCATTTTTTCATCAGACAGAAAAGGCAAAAAGAACGAATAAATTTAAAACCATTTTTAAAGGTTGTGAATGTCTGAGAAAAAAATTCTGAAAAGTTTGAAATTCTAGTAAAATGTAAAAGTTTCAACTCAATTGCACAGCATCCACCAATAAATATACACAATAATCTGTGATTTGTGTGAGATATAAACTGTTGAATCAGAAAGCAATGTTAGACCCTGAATTAAAGAGAGTATTTATATCTTGGACAATTAGAACTTGCTGTTTATTTGAGTGCCTAATTGCAGTTGTACTCCATTTTAAATGGTTATCTCTGGCAATACACTAATTTAAAACTACTAGAGATGAGAACAGAATCAGGCTTATAAATAAGGCTAAATTGAGTTGATGAGATCACAATTCATTTTATCACAGTAATAACATAACATTTAAAATATGAAATGCATTTTATATTTGAGATTTATGTGTGATTCTGCTGAAGAAAGTGGAATTCTGCTAAACCATGATTTTATTTTAGCCTGTATTGATTGGAGGTAAACATCAGAAGGTATTACTACAAAAAGACAGCTTTATTGGCATAGCTCCATTAAAAACAATATGTAGTAGCCAGAGATCTGCTCTCAGATGTGAAGTGCCCTCACGTAGAGCAGACCCAGCATTTTCCACTGAGCAAACCATGGCTGCATTTTTTGCACTAAATGTTTTTGCAGACTTCTTCATCTTCGGTCTTTTGTTTCATGCAGATACCACACGGCCAAAGCGTGACTATGAAGTGGATGGGAGAGATTATCATTTTGTCATTTCAAGAGAACAAATGGAAAAAGATATCCAAGAGCACAAATTTATAGAAGCTGGGCAGTACAATGATAATTTGTATGGAACTAGTGTCCAGTCTGTGAGATTTGTGGCAGAAAGGGTAGGTTGACAGTAGTTTTATTGCTGGTGCAACATGATCTGCTTTGTTTCCACATTGTGTCTCAGACATGATTCTCTGCCAAAAATATAAAATAGCTGCAAAATGGTATCCTAATATTTATAGGTTTTATAATGACTCCACTAGTGGAGTCTCCAACTTTGAATGACATCATCCTTGGCACTGTCTGTACTTGGATGTAGTGCTGTGGGTTCAGGGTTCTAACACAATGCCTCAAGTACTCCTCAAAACAGCCTCTATTCTTCTCTCTGTGAGAGCAGATAAACTAAATCACTTTCACAGAGGCAAAAGAACGAACCACAGAAATATTAAATTATTTGCTTCAGGTAACACAGGGAGGCTTTGACGTAAACAAGAACTGAATTAATCACTTAGGATGGGGACATCCTATTGCTTTTATGAACTGATTTTCCTCATCTCAAGAAAATCCTCCTGCCCCTGCAAATTTCACCCTAGTAAAAAATAAATCCCAAGTTTGTTCCCATATCACCAGTGCATATTTATACTGGCACCAAAGCAAAGGAAAGAACACAGCATAGTGGAACCTGTACCCTGGCCTACTCCTGCCCTAGTGTGCCAGTAATGGCCCCATTCCAGGGCACTGTGTCATAGATTTGCTTCCTATCTTTAGCAAAGTCTGCAAAAATAAACACATGCTCATCTATTTCCAACAGGGCAAGCACTGTATACTTGATGTGTCAGGAAATGCTATCAAACGACTACAAGTTGCACAACTCTATCCCATTGCTATCTTCATTAAGCCCAAATCATGGGAGCCTCTGATGTGAGTATAAACTTCTTCAAGCATTTTATTATTTTCAGGTACAGCCTCAAGTGGCACCACACAGGTCTTGAGTCTACATTTGGCTTGTTCTCTAAAATTATTAGTAATTAGATGAAGTAGGAAGAGTGCCTTTAAAACCTGTCATCCACTGTATCCTGCTATCTCAAGGAACAAGCCATAGCTTTGAACCTTTCAGACTGGCACTCGTGGGATTCTGTGCTGGACCACGAAGGACTCCCTGCCAGTGCTTGGTGTACTTGCTCCAACCTGTGCAATGAGTTCACTGGGGACTCACTCACACAGCTTGGCTTGTGCCATGCATCCTCAGGTGCTCTTGGGGTTTACAGCCTGGCCAAGGGCACAAACCAGGGGTTAAACCTGTGTCAGACTTGAGGTGTGTTCCTCTTCACCAGCCCTTCATTTACCTGCAGGTCTGTAAGAGGATAGGCAAGGAGCCATGGGACTGGAGAAGGGCAAGCATAACACAAGAATGAAAGAGAAGGCACCAGCTCCATGCTGCCAAGGCTGTCTGAGGTGGCACATACTTTAAGGGATAAGAGCAAAACTCAATGTAAGATCAGTAAGATGAAATTCAGCACAGACAAAGGAGAGACAATGAAAGGCATGAGTACAAGCAGGGAATAATTTAGCCATAGCACTGCAGAAAAGCATCTGGCAGTTGAGGTGGATCACACAAGAAAACAAATGGATGGGTAATGTGGTTGCAAAAAAAAGAGCTTTCCACTGTGGGCTGTATTCATATCAGTGTTGTGTAAGGACACAATGGACTGCTATTTTGTTTTACTGCAGCCTCATCTAGAGTGCTGGCCTGATTCTGGGTTCTACCCTGCTGGCAGAGGAGGAGCAGGAATTATCTAGTGTCACAGAGAGAAGGCTGAGTAAGAAATATGGAATTGATATTTATCCAGAGTTAAAATTCAGGATAAAATATATGGTTATCAAGTTGTTTTCCATGTACACTTACAGTTATGCAAGAGCTATCAGCTTAATTTGCTGTGTTAGGAGTGAAATTTTGAACTCTGTGCCAGTTCTGTTCAATATTTTTACTGATGACATGGATGAAGGGATTGAGTCTCTCATCAGTAAATTTGCAGACTACACTAAGCTGGGAGCGTGTGTCAATCTGTTGGAAGGAGGCTCTGCAGACAGACCTGGAATGGTTGGATGGATGGGCAGAGCCCAACAAAATGAAGTTTAATAAGTCCAAGTGCTGAGTCCTGCATTTTGGCCACAATAACCCCCTCCAGCGTTACAGGCTGGGGACAGGGTGGCTGGACAGTGCCCAGGCAGAAAGGGACCTGGGGGCACTGGTGACAGCTGGCTGAACATGAGCCAGCAGAGTGCCCTGGTGGCCAAGAAGGCCAAGGGCATCCTGGCCTGTGTCAGGAACAGTGTGGCCAGCAGGAGCAGGGAGGTCACCCTTCCCCTGTACCCAGCACCTTGAGTGCTGTGTCCAGTTCTGGGCCCTCAGTTTGGGAAGGACCTTGAGACACTCGAGCACATCCAGAGGAGGCAACGAGGATGGGGAGGGGCTGGGAACACAAACCCTGTGAGGAATGACTGAGGGAGCTGGGGGTGTTTAGCCTGGAGAAAAGGAGGCTCAGGAGTGACCTTATCACTCTCTACAACTGCCTGAAAGGTGGCTGTAGCCAGGTGGGGTTGGTCTTTTCTCCAGGCAGCAACTGACAGAATGAGAGGACACAGCCTCAAGTTGGGCCAAGGGATATATAGGTTGGATATTAGGAAAAAGTTTTTATGGAGAGAGTGATCAAGTACTGGAACTGCCTGACCAGGGAGGTGGTGGTGTCACCATTCCTGGATGTGTTTAAAAAAGGACTGGATGTGGCACTTGGTGCCATGGTTTATTTGAGGTGCTAGGGAATGGGTTGGACTCGATGATCTTGAAGGTCTCTTCCAACCGAGTGATTCCATCATTCTGTGATTCTGTGATTCCCCTCCCTCATTGCTCTGCAAATGCCAGGTAGTGCCATGGGTTTGTGTTTGACAGCTAAAACATTGGCACTCCCCCTCCTGTGACAGATGCGTGTCTAGTGATGGTAACAGTGTACCTGCAGACACTGGTCATGGAGCTGGAGAATTCCAACATGACCCATCCCTGGAATATGCATTGTTCTAGGCCCTGCAATGAGCTTGTTGTATGTCCAGCCACATTACAAGGAATGATGCACAATATCTGGTACTTGCACAGCACCATCCTGACTTCCTGATTTTTCTTCCAGCCTACAATTCAATAATATTCTGATTTTGTCACTGTATAGAAGGGGAAGAGTAGTCTGATAGACTGCCTTCTGCACTGATTGTTTTAACAGAGATCTTAACATACAGTTTTCCCATTCACAAAACATTTCCATTATTTGTTTAATGCTGTCATTGCTTCTGGAGTGATTAAAAAAAACCACAAAGTAAATAAAAGTGGCCCTTACTCTGAAAAAATACATCAGGCAGAACCAGAAAAGTGGCAATAACATAAAGGCTTTGTTGATTTGATGTTAGAACAGCAAATCCTTGAATAGACTGAATGGTGTTATAAAGATGCAAAATATTATGACAATCATCCTGTTGTTGAACCAAAACAATGCTAATACTTCACTTAGGACAATAAAACAAGTGGGCTGTTCAAGAAATGCCTGGACTTGGCACTCAGTGCTGTGATCTAGTTAACAAGGTGGTGATCAGTCAAAGGTTGGATTTGATGATCTTGGAGGTCTTTTTCAACTTAATGATTCTGTGATTCAGTCTTTTTTAGGTATTTAAGTACTGCAACACAAAAAAAAATTAGAGCTTAATCTGTCATAACTATTACTCCTGCTCATACAAATTAGTTAAAAGCTACTTCAATAGCAAAGCCTAAACACAAAAGACAAAAAAATTTCTAATCACAAGATGCAGAGAAACAAAGACAAAAGCTTTATCTTTCATTAAAATTAGCACATAATGTTGTAGTCTCTCATTTATGCATATGCTCATTTGCTCATTTATGGTCCCTTCACTCTTCTTACCTCCCCATTAGATGCCCTTCAGCCATCTGAAGGGGAGGTAAGAAGAGTGAAGGGATCATAAATCAAGTTTGCACCTGCACTTGAAAGAGCACATGGCCATTGCTGTAAACAAACTGCTCCTTCCTTCCTTCCTTCCTTCCTTCCTTCCTTCCTTCCTTCCTTCCTTCCTTCCTTCCTTCCTTCCTTCCTTCCTTCCTTCCTTCCTTCCTTCCTTCCTTCCTTCCTTCCTTCCTTCCTTCCTTCCTTCCTTCCTTCCTCCCTCCCTCCCTTCATTCCTCCCTCCCTCCATTCCTCTCTTCCCTCTCCTACATGACTCCATCTGGTTTACTCCCAGAGGCATGCTTTTTCATACCCTCCAATCAGCCTCTCTCTCTAGAGGAATGAGGACAGTGGTGAGATCATGGGAATGAGAAATGGAATAAGAAAGAACCTGCCTGGGTGAGCTCTTCACTGGGAGAGGAGGAAAGCCCTGGAAAATATGCACTATATTTTGAATTCACCACCTATGCAGGTCCCCAGCTAAGAAATAAGAAATAGAAGGGACTGCAGTATGACAGCACTTTAATTTCATCATAAAAAATGGACATTATGGTCCCCCCGCTTCTCCATCCTCTCTTCTAAGGGCACAGAATGGGCAGAGTCAGGAATACAACTAGCATGGTTTTATACCCCAGGCAAATCTACAACCTGAAAGTGTAATGCAAATTTCTACGTGTTTCAAAGTACTTCCTATTTTAAACACTTCTTTGTATTATCTTTTTTGCTGTTCAAAGATCTTGAGAAAGACTTCTCAAAAAATTTACCAGAAACAGATCTGAAAGGAAGAGGATGTTGTCAGCATTACAATATTGGTTAAGTGCCCATAAGATGAAAATGTTAAGTTTGCCTAAGAATTTGCAGTGGTATGTCCCACTACAAGACAAGAGTTTTAGTTCAGTCACCCAAAGCAGTGGTATCGGATGTGAAGTCCACCTGATTAGATAGCAATCTTTCCAATAAGTAGAATTAGTATTATTACAAATTTAGCAGAACAACACATGGACTATATTAAACCTTTTTGTATACTCTACAAATAACTGGCATAAATTTTAAAATAAATCTTTCTTAGCCTTCATTTTATGAACCTGCCTTCTCCATGGCATTAGTACTTGCAAAGAGATTTTTCTAAGCATTGTTCCCAGGTATACAGTTACTTATATAGGTAGTCAGCTTTAAGTCATTTCTCGAAACTCCTTTTTGCATCCTGGACATCTCCCAGGATGTTTTTCAGAAGTCAAGTAGGTGTTAGCTGTAGCAAGTTCATACTGTTGTGCACTTCATAGAGCTTTCTTCTTTTCACACTATCATGTCCATAATTTCCGACATGCATCACCCACGGCATACTGTATACAGTCTATTACCACGTAATCATATGATTCAGTGCAAGGCATAAAATCAGATTTATGCTCTCCTAGTTGCCTCAGAAAATTTCTGTCATGTTTTAAGAAAAAAATTAATCTACGCTGGGAAAAAATGCTAGAACAAGCAAACTCTATTTAGACATCTACAGGCATGAGTATAAAGCAGTGAATGAGCATGTAATACCTGAGCATGCATGGGCAAGACAACTCATTTCCTAAAGTTATTAAATAGTGTTTCTGTTGAAACAGAAATGCTCCATCAAATAACAAAACGCTGAAGAAACCAGAATATTACCATCTGTCTTTTTTTTATATTTATTAGCACCCAATAAGTGGTCAGTACAACCTTATCCATCTGAGACCAGCAGCTGAGTCTGGGAGACACAGAGGTTGCTGACAGAGCTTCAGGCAGGAGTGCCGAGTGCTCAGACTATGGGACATTTGGGATTCCAGACCAGTCTATGCACTCCTGATGTCTCAAGTCTATCTCAGTTAGCAGCTGCCAGACCTTGGCCTTGTATTTTGTTGAAAATGTAGAGTAGTGAACCCAAGATAAAAATTTGGTGGAGAAAAGTGAAATGAGAAATAGTCTGAAGTAATTTTGTACTACATAGAATGAAATTAAATTGAAAATATTAAAGCTGTCCATGAGCTGTTGGAAGAATTTTACCATTTTATTCTTTTACCAATCTCAATCCATCTGGGATTCAGTTGAGCATGCCTTTTGAAAACCATTCTAGCAAGAATCTAAACTTTTTGATTACTTCCTCCATGTTTCTAGGGAAATGAATAAACGTCTTACAGAGGAGCAAGCAAAGAAAACCTATGATCGAGCAATTAAATTAGAACAAGAATTTGGAGAATATTTCACAGGTATGCTTTTATTAATACCATTTTTTTCCCCCAAGATCTAATCTTTTATTTCAAAACTACTAGATCAACCCTATCTTTGAGCTAGAGTACCTGTCAGTATAGTATGCCCAGAGCAAGGACTTCTGGCTTGAGAGTAGTGTTTCCTTGAAATTCAAGAGCAGCTGAGGCACTTGACTCCTCAAAAGTTTGATGTCCTGAAGGAGTATCCATGCAGAGGGAAATTAGGGGCAACCACTGTGCTTTGTGTTACGGTTACTTTACCTTCTGTCAACTTGGGCCTGATCTTGTTAACCTCAGCAGCCAAGAGTTTTATATTATTATTTTATATTATAACCAGATATTATGTATATTATTTTATATTATAACCGGATCCTAAAGGTTGCAAACCTGCTGCTGCTCACTGTTGAAGTAGGTTCTAAATTGAATGAAGTGTAAAGCTTGACCTCCGACAGTGGGAGGATCTCTTGTGCTGCCCTCCCAGGACAGAAGTGCTAGTTCTCTGAACTAACCTGGCTCAGTCTTCTCAGTATGAGCAGTGGGATGGGTCTCTGCCATGGGCAGGTGCCATTGATTTGGACTTAGTTGTCATCTGCAGGGGTATGACTTTTCCATAAATGTCTCAGTATGCCAGTATTCCTTCTCATTCCTTGAGTATCTATGAGTATGCTGAAGATCTGCTGACACTGGATGCTGTATCTATCAATTAAAAGAAATATTGATATGTTTTCTCTACTGCAGCTATTGTCCAAGGAGATAGCTTAGAAGATATATATAATCAATGCAAACTTGTAATTGAAGAACAATCTGGGCCTTTCATCTGGATTCCTTCAAAGGAAAAATTATAAATTAGCCACTGCACCTCTGATTACGACGGGAGAATATTTAGAAGAAAACTATAATATACTATTTGGAGGCTTTCCTTTTTTTGTTGCATTTATGTTCTTTGCAGTCAATGTGAATTTTGATGAATGTACAACACAAAGTGTTTGAAGCCATGAAGGACACTGATGGGTCAAAGGGTAGGAACAAAAAGACTTCTACCATATAAAGCAAATCTGTTGCGTGCTCAGAGCACGAGTTGTAGGTATAAACTTTTGACGTGGAGACCCTCTGTCAAGGGGAGCTAAGCCACCTCCTGTGCCCACGCGGACATTTTGATCAATTTCAATGGCTGAGCTCAGTGTGTTGATTGCTTTAGAGAAGTTCCCAGCTCTTGAACCTCACAGAGGGCTTGATCCTGCAAGGCGCTCAGCACTTGACCCCAATTCCTACACATGAGTAGCCTGTTGACTTGGAGTCACCCGTGACCCTTCCCTATGCCGTTCAGTCCCACCAGTTCAGTAGGACTATTCCCGTGCTCAAAGCTAGGCACAGGCTTAAGCATTTTTGCTAGATCAGGGCCACACGCACCTTGCAAAATCAAGCTCAGAGTATTTGGTCCACTTCCTACTGTGGTCACTGTTGGGACACTCTGTGACCTGACTGGGAGGTGGGTCCTGTTCCAAGCTTGTCATTGCACATTTGTAGTTGGTACACCTCGACTTTGGTAACTATGCACATCTTTTGATTTCTGAAACCAAGTCAAACTTTTTTTTTCCCCCTTTGGAAGCACTATTTCATCAGGAACTGCCAACAATATGGTTTATTTTGATGGTGTTTAGGGGTGGGAGAGGATGGAAGCATTTCGCACCACACACATGTGCACTCAAACATATTCCCATGCAGACAGACACATATATGAGGATTCACAGCACCTATGTTAACAAGGAGGGATACAACTGGGAAAAGCTTTAAAATTTTTGATTGTCTATTTTATCATTTATATTGATAGAAGGCACTTAAAGATGGAATAATTTATAAAAATAAAAATATATTGATGTATAGAAACTAATTTCTATAGGTAAAATGTTTTTGTGAAGATATTTTGTAAAGATTAATTAATTGAAAGATTAAATATTTACACCCTTGTGCGACTGTCAAATGTAAAGAGGACCATCAAGTTGCATTATAGCCCTTCCATAAGAGATTCTCTATTATTAATGACAAGCAAGAAAATTCCTTAAAGAGTAGTTGTCATATTTTTTTTCTTTCAATTTAATCCTCTCCCTTGCCTCTGTTTAATCATGATGAACTCCTGTGGAAAGATCTCTTGAACTCACTGCCCTGTAGGAATTTTCTGAACACAAAAGGATAATGTATTTTTGAGAGGGACAACTATTCAGAAGCAAAATGTCAGTGCTTAAACACAGCTAATAATTTCTCTCTTAGGAAGGAGGCACCCTTAATCCCCAAATGTTTTACGACTCTTCCTGTTTCCCTCAGGGAAATAACAAAAGCGTTTGATCTTTCCTCTCTTTGCAGGCAGGTCACCAACTAACTTGTATCTTCATTCATTTCACAGTCAACAAGGGTCTTAAAAGCAAAAACTGAGGCAATAGACATTTGTGAGGGATTTGGGGAAAGTCTGTGGAATTGCAGTCTGGGGTGTACAGAAGGGGAGAAGGAGGTATTTTTTTTCTCATTTCACATTGCCCTTCTTCTGTATAGTGATGCCATTCCTCACTGACTTAAAAGGGGACAACTGCAACAGATGCTATGACAGTAAAACTGAATTGCCTTTGCTGCTGCTGGACCATGTTCTCTACAAAACCCACACTCCTGCCTCTGCTGCACTGCAGGAGTGCATTGCTTATAGCTGGTGGCTACAGCAGCCCTAATGCTTACGGATGTCTTAAGGGCAAATGCTAAATAGACTCCTCTGGCCCTTGTCTGTCTGCAGCTTACACTTGTACGCCCTGTCCAGCTGACAGGGCTTCCCAGCACCTTCCGCGAACAGCGCGACGAGCTGGATGTTTGCAAAAGCCACCAGCAGTGACAGGGTTAAAAACACGGGCATTTTACTGGCTCTTGAGCGGGCCTCTCATGCTTACTGCCCAACCATGGTAACTCTGAGAAGTTCACACTTCTTTAACTATTTTTCCTGCCTGGTCAGCGCAGCTTTATAAACAGGGGTTTCAGTTAAGTCTCCAGAAGAGCTTTGTAACCAGAAGGGCTATAAAGTTTTGGGTTTTTTTTATTATTAATTAATGAATGCTTTGATTTTGGATAATTATGCAGAAGTCCACAGAGTGACCCCAGATCTTTGGAAGCCATGGATTTTTCCATGCTAGTAAAATACTATTGCCCCAGGTTGGGAAATAGCCCACCAGACCTGAAAAACCAAGTATCCTAAAGCAGGAACTTCATTCTAATTTTCAGCTCTGTTTTTAAGCAATCAATCACATCTGCTTCTTTGTTTCTTAGTTCAGCATGCAGCCTTTTATGGTACTATCCTACTAGTAACTGTTTTGCTTTGTCATGTGCTGTGCTTTACAGTGAACAGTAACACTACGGCTGAGTACAATCAATTTTTCCATCAGTCCTTGGTTACTGTAGTAACATTATTTATTTTTCCCTGTCTGTTGTTTGTGCTTCCATTTTAGAGTTGACATTGCACTTCTTCTTTTTTTTTTTTTTAAATAAAACATATATTTAAAAACAAAACGTCAAGAGAATCAGTGAGAGGTCTTATTTCCCTTAGGACTTGTACTCCCATTTGTTTTGTGTGTTGATGTTTTGCGTTCCATGTCACAGCATCCTAAGAGCTGCAGTCCATTTTTGCATTGCAGCTGTTCAGATCATACTGGGTGGTAGTGGGAGGAGGAAGAAAAAGCATAAGACTCATGCAAAATTACATCTGGTGAAAAAGAAGTCCAAACTCACAACCCACAGCAATTGGCGCCTGACTCCATATTGGTGCTAACACAGCTTAGCATAATCAGATTCCTTTTCTGTCCGTGTTAAAGACTTGGGAGCGTCTAACCATGAGACCAATGCAAATGCTGGACCCTTTAGGAAAAGTGCCAGATCACACCCCTGGTGCTATATCTCATGTTCTGGCACAGTGTGTAGCACCATAGGGTCTAAGCAGAATCAAAATTATCACAGCTTTTTGTCCACCCATGAATGATCACAATTACATCTTGCTAGCTTTGTGCAGATGTGCAATATTACAAACTAATTCTTTTTCTTTGCCACAAACAAAAAAAAATAAAAAATCTTCCACGCACTGACTCATTGAGAGCTTGCTAACAGGGCTCAGTGGAATGGCACTTCTTTACTGATCTTATGGTCTGACCATCGACCAGTGGAAGAGCCTCTTTCTTGCTTAATCCCCCTTCCTACAGAGGTACCCTGTCCATGCTAGCGCTTTGTAATTTCTTTGGTAGTAAAGGCTGTTTCTAGATCAATATTCTGTGATGTGATTGTGTTTGTAGCTAGCATGGTTTGATGCTCCGGTGTGGATAGGGTCCTAAGAACCACTCGGTGAAAGTCAAGGATAAGAAATCTCTCCATTGCACTGAAATTACAAATCCTCTTCCTGGAGAGCAGTGTGGTACTTGAGCTAATAACCACTACGAGCCAGCAACAGTGTCCTAGGTACACAACATCCACCTACCTATTTACATTAGTTTTCTATGGAGAAATTGTTGGCATTACACCTTCACTGTTACTCGCTCATCAGCACCCAGTCAAATTGTATTTTTGTTTTGGTTTTCTTATATTTTAGTTTTTGTTTTTCAAATTGTATCCCTGAGCAGAGGATTTAGTGAGTGAAAACACATGAGGATATGTGTAGGATATACATATATATATATCCTCCTGTGTTGAGGCAAAAGTATCAACCTCCTTTTTCAGATGCAGATTTAAAGCCATAATATCTGCCGTGTTCACAGAAAGTGGTCTTTTATCCTTCACAGCTTTTAATCTCAATATTTTCCCTCTTGAACATTTTGCCTGTCATGTTATGCATGTGGTTCACTGTGCAGCTGCATTCAAGCCCCTTCCTTGGTGGAATAAACTTTTTTCTTTCCCATTAAAAATCAGACATTTTGTCAATTGGTTCAGGAATAAGGATGAGGTTATTATGCTAAAAAAAGAAAGTTTCCATTCTAGGACACAAATCAGCATCAAAGATAACAACAGATAACATATAAAATCTATCCAGCATATAGCTGGCCTAGAACCTCAGCTGGTGGAAATCACAGTCGCTCCTCTGATTTCAATGGAGTCCTTCCCATTTATACCACCTGAAGTTAAACATCCACCCTCCTCATCACACTGATTTTTTTGCATCTTTGTAAAACACCAAGGCCACCTGATTAAACAGGTGGCTCAGCACTTTCCATCATTATTTACTGCTTATTTTACTGTAACACCCAGAAGGCCAAGTCATGGACCAAGATCCTTTTGAGGCCAGTGCTGTGAAATTGCTAACAAGAAGACCCCAAGGGCCAAATGGATTTGCAGAAGGCTTCAGCTGCACTGACATCTCACCAAGAGCTATAGGAACTACCACTTCATTGGCCCTTTCTGAGACCCTGCCTTTAAGGTGAAAAGCACGAGAGGCGATCCATCATCTCTCACACCACATTAGCAGCTTACACCTTCTGGCCCTACAGCACAGGCAACTTGCCCTGATGTAAAACAGCATTTCTGGGCTTGGGAGCCAGCATCCTAGGCAAGATCTTTGGTGCAGGGGGGAAAAGCATAAAAAAAAAGGAAAAACAAAAAGGGCAACACTGTTGGCTCTTAGTGGGATAGCCTTTTAATTTCTGGTTTTGTGCTCCTAAATTTGAATTGGCCAGTTTGAATTTCTGAGTGCAGCAGCCTGTATGCACCAAGCTGCTCCCTCCAGCACAATGTCTGGCGTGTGTCTCTTTAGCAGGATGTTTCTCAGTCCAGCTGTAGTGTGGGGTACTCAGAATCTGAACTGGAGTTTACAAAACACCCTGTCCAGCTTACACTCCTGTTATGTGTAAATACTCTGCGCATCCATTCCATTTGTGTAAAGAATAAAGCACACACAATTATAAAAATTAAGCTGTATATTTCATACTAGCTGTGTCCTTGCTTATTTATTCCAGTCCAAGCTCTCAGCTGTGGTTGAGTTGTAAATGCTTGATAGAGTGTTTATAAATATGTCATGAATTTTATTATAAAATATTAATATTAATATTAAAGCATTTTTACACTTTATAGCAAATTGCTTCTTCACAAGGCATAATTTGTCTTTTTTCCTTGGAGCAGAATAGTAAAAGAGAAATATGCTTTTATTTTGTCTTGAGATATTACATCTATCACACAAGACTGACACAAATTAGGAGGATGGTTTCACAAATGACTAAGAATAAGACACCTTTTTCCTTCTTGCCCTTTTTATTTCCTTTTTACATCACATTGATGTGGAAGTTGCCACCAAGAAGATTAATTCTGGTGAAGTACAGCCACTTTCTCCCTACCACAGTTCTGCTGTGAGTTCAGAATCATCAGCATCTTGATGAATAATTACCAGAATATTTTTTATAATTAAATAATCATTCCATGTTTATGACACTGCTGCACAGCCATGGGGAAAAGGACTGTAATAATTGCATTATAACTGCTTCTAAGCAGCTTAGTGGAGCATAAATTCCTGCTATGGGATCCCAACAGCTCAAGAACCTTGGGGTTTGTCCATTCCAGGAATATCTTTGCAGATGGTTTGTGGGCTCCAGGGAGGCCATGTAAACACTGTGAGTCCCCAGCAGAGGCAGTAACAATATGGGGACACTGCTTTTGACACAGACAGTACTATCTGCAGTCTGCAGAGGACCACAGAGCCTCCATATGGCTCTGGGAGCCACAACTGAGACTACAGGGAAAAAAGTCTGTCCACAGGGTTTTACATGTATGATCACAGGGATGGTTAATCATCTAAACATTCATTGTGATGTTTTAGATTTCTCCAGCAGATTCAAAAGAGGGAGAGAATCCAAACAATTGACATTGAGCAGGATCTCTTAGTAAAGTACTTTCTTCTTTATTCTCTCTCTAGGTCAACCTGAGCCAATTCCCCAGACTATATTCCACAGAAACAAGAGAAACTTAGAAAACAATCTTAATAAAATGGATTGGAGACAGAAAGTACTTAAAATTGTAGGAAGCTAGATATGTTGTGATGATCACTTCAGACAGTGGTGGCAAACTTTGCCAGCCTTTTGCCTTGGCCAGGCATAGAGTATGTCCCTAATGGTCACATTTTCTCATTTGTCCCACTGCCTTTTAATGGTTCCTTCACACAGACAGCCAAGTATCTGGACTCAGTTGTCCATTCACAACCTGTGGTTTGAAAGACACTACCTCCCAGTTTGGACAATTATCTGGGACCAAAGCTACAAGGTAGGTGAGCAGTACTTCTGCTGTGCAGATACCTCCAAGTGCCAAATCCATCTTAAGGAAGTCACTTCACTGTGATTTTCAGAAGAATTTAGGTGTCTATCTAGCATAAGCAAGTTATTCATTTCACTTTAATTAGAGCACTTTATAGCTGGCACAATGCAAGGCAATGACACCTAAAGCACCTGTGGGAAAGCAGGAAAATGGTGATACAGTTCCACAGAGCAGATCCTCTTCCCCATGAGCAATCTATACCGAAATCTTTATTATCGAAAATTCCATCTCTGAAAGTGTTCAAGGCCAGGTTGGATGGGGCTTTGAGCAACCTGGTCTAGTGGAATGAGTCCCTGCCTATGGCAGTGGGATGGGAACTGATGATATTAAAATCCCTTCCATTCCAAACCATTCCATGATTCTATTGGACAACTGAGGAAGACTTACCAGAGTAGCCCTGCCAGAGCAGGACTCACCAAAAGCACCATCACAAACCCATCACTGCAAGGAAGGTGATACCACGGCTGCAGAGCATGGACTGCTCGGGTTGGCTGGCTGGGCACGTCACCAGTAAAAGAGCTGAACTGGTCTGCAGACCAGTGTGGAAAGCTGTGGACAAAAGCACAATTCCCCTGCTCAGCATAGGAGGGCAGTTCTGGACAGCACCCACTGCTGCAGGCTCTTTCTGATGGAGATGGATCCTGCCTGACCCAATGGAGAGCTGATGGTGCCAAATATCTCAGGGAGGGAGAATGTGGTGCCCAGAAGAAATAAGTCATTTTAGTCAGTGAAGAAATTGAATTGCTTGCTGCAGAAGCTCATTAACTACTGTCAACTACTCATTAGTGCTTGATCTAAGCAGAACCAGGTGGTGGCAACCAGGGAAAATTAATTAGGTCTAACATAATATAACAGTGATAGGGTTGTTACAGCATCAGTAGAAGGCCAATACACAACTGGCCCCTGCACTATACCAACTGATTAACTAATGTCTCAGGGCAGGCAAATAGCCTGAGGGCTTCCTCTGGAATGTATGGACAAAGAGCTTTCACTGCAGCCTCTTCTGGCTTCCCTTCTGATAGGGACTCACTGACACTGCCAAAAGCTTTGCCTTGCAGTAAAATAAAGGAAATAAATGGGGCATTAGCTATAAATAGCAATTTGAAGATGTCTTTAAGCTGCAAAACTCTGGGATGGGCTTTAAATATGTAAGAGAAGTATGAAATTCTGGGAATCTGCAGTAAAATCCATTCCTAACAGGTCATATGAAGTCCCAGTCTGAAGCAGAAACTCATCAGTGGCACCACCAAACCCTGTTTGACCTCTGCCTGACTTGCCTGCTCCAGAAGACTGTTCTGAGCAAAACTCATGCTGGACTCCAAGGAAACATTTTCTTTAAGGTCTTCTTGCTTCTTTCTTTTTCCCAAGAAAGGGTGTTGCCACTGTGCCATCTGCAGTTAAAGCTTATCAGGGGCTGTTCATTACCTTCAAATCAAAGCACAGGGCAAAATTGTACCAGTCATCACCATATTTAAATACTGCAAGGATCAAACCTATGTCAAACATCCATTTCTTTCTCTTATTTTTTAACAAACAGTGTTTTGAACACTGTCAGCCTGATGACTCACAGAAAAAATCTGAAGGGTCTGAGGGCAAATGCTTGTCTTACACTCCTGTCATCTGAAATGGAGGTTTTGGACAGTAGCTGTAGGATGCAGGAGTCACCAAAGCACCATTTTTCCTCCCCTGATGGTGTATTTATTGGCTGTACTCTGCTTGCCTGGATGTGATTCACAGGGAGTCAGTTGCTCATTAATGGCAATACATCTCCAGTAAAATATTAGGCAAATATTTTCTAAGCTATTAACTCCTCATCAAGCATATAATCCTTCTTTAACAGCACTGACATTTGCTGTAGGTAAGTATGTTCATCAGCTTACAATGAAATCTCACAGGCAGCATATCCAGAGCTCTTTTCTCAACAGACACCACATCATCCTATTTTAGAGACACCAAATGAGAAGGAAAACACTATTCTGAGACTGTGTCTGCTAAACAGGGAAAAGCCCTGCTGATCCCCAACTCCAAGGGGATTAGCAGAAGCCATTTCCAATTAATTGAGCTTAGATGTTTGCCTGAGCATAGTCCATGGGGAAACTGGATTTGGGGAAGAGGTACAGTCTGTAGATGTGAGGCAAATGCATCATGCCTTACTCAGCTGGCTGGATTTGGGGTGGAAAAGGGGTGGTCATTTAGACAGCTATAGCAGGTATGTAAGTGAGGCCATGGGCCTGAGACAAAGCTAATGGAGAGGTGTGGGAGTGGGAAGGTCTCACATTGTTTAGTGCCTGCTTCACTCCATTAACCAGCAGAGTTACAGATGGAGACTAACAAGTCTCTGAGCATAGTTGCACAGGGCAAATACCAATTTCAATGCATTAGATAACCTGGAGTAAAACACCAGGGACCAGGAAAGCAGTAATTCATAGTCCTGTAGAAGAAGCCAGTTGCTAATTGAGCCTTTGCTCATGGAGACGAATCCCCAGTGGCCACACATTTCTGCCATAAATAAAGCAACTGCCTTCCTTTAAGCAAGAATTGAGGCACCACAGAACAATGAGTGCCTGAGAGAGACCCACACAGCCAAGGCATCATCTCACTGCCCACAAATGCATTCTGAAGGGCCCCTCCACACATGCGTCCCAACCCATCAGCTTAAGCCAGCTCCACAGACACTGCAGAGTAGCTGCAGACTTGTTCTTCCCCACACACACAGACACACACGGGCTCAGACAGAGCATCCAGGGACACAAATCTCTGACCTGAGCAGCCTGAGTGCCTCAGCATCAGAAGAGCTGCTGTGGCAAGCACTGGGGCAGCAGTGCTGTTATGTCTCTCCCTGGACTGCAAGCACTGCATTCCCACCTTCAAATCCCTGTGCAGAGCCCAGAAACTGCAATATTGGGTCTCTGATGCTATCACTTAAGATGTTAAACTTTTACAGGGCTGCCCTCTGAGGGCAGGTCCCTAACACTGGTACTTGATCAGTAGGCACCCATCACAGTCCAGCCTAGGGCAAGGAATGCATACATTGGACTTTCTATATAGATGCCTTGAGATGAAGCTAGAGTCCCCCTGACCTGCCCAGCCTGGCTGGAAAGCTTTAGAGCAGAAAGGGGAGCATACACACACTCCATTTCATGGAGGGTCTGCCTTGTTGGCTGGAGCAATGTTGTTGAAGTGCTGTGGAGGTACGGGTTATTAGGAATTAACTCTCTTTAGAGCAACTAGAGCTAAGTCTTCCCAAATTTTTCATAGAAAAATAGCCCAAAAATTTACACTGTCCTTCAGTGACAGTTTCTACCTATTTATGTTATATGATCTTGGAGGTCTCTACCAACCTGAAGTGATTCTGTGATTCTGTGACTAGGGAATTCTTCTTCTTCTTCATATGATGTGTGCCCACAGGGCAAGGAAGTAATAAGGCCACCTCACACTAACACACTATCTGCATAATCTCTGCTGTGCAAGGACCATGTAGGCAAGAAATAATTTAAACTACAGCACCTTATTGTTATTTTTTAGCCAATGGTGCAAGAAGCCCAGGCAGGGAAGAGAAAAAAACTCCCTTATATGTTATGTATCCAAATTCCAGACAATGTTATGGAAACTGGAAGAAAAAAGAA